TTTCAATCTGAATTTAATTGAAAACGACACACACCCACACAAAAACCATATAAATTGAATGAAAATCGTCAATTTGTTCAGTCGTTTTGTAGAAATGACGCCTCTTATTCATCGTCACACCGTTCATACCATTCTATTATTACGTTAAATGAACAAGAGAGATAAAAATATTTTCTGAAATCGTATTGTATTATGTATTGTATATGGTAATTTGGTTGTTTTCCTGCTCTCTCTCTCTCTCTCTCTCTCTCTCTGTTGCTCCATAATAAATCCATAATAAAATGTTACATGAGTCAAATGGTGCGATGCGATAAGAAATGAATCCGTACAATGCTGGTCCTTTTTCTCACATCATGAGCACAAGTGTTCATCGTTTAAAAGCGTGGGGTGTCGTTTCGATACGGCCATTATTTCCCATTTTCCATGTGGCGTAGAAAATACTTTTTTGTCTGATTTTCATAATGAATAAATTAATTAGTTTCGTCCTTTTTTCGATGATTAGATCAAAAAGTGAATGTATTTCCATCGAATGGGTGAAACCTTAAAAAATATGGTACCAATTAACTTTTGTTGAAAAACAAAAGACCAACCATTTTGGCATCCGCTCAAAAGTTAATATGTTTTTTCGAAAAAATTAAATGAAAATCGGTTGCTTTTTTAAATTCTGCACAAAAATATTGATGAATTTGATGGAACGAAACGTTTTGAATTCAATGTTAACGGTTGTTGATTATTAGGAAACTTCGAAAAGGCCATATATAAAAAAAATACTCGATGCTGCTCAAACGACATTCTTCCCCCCCCAAATGCCATAGAACACGCTATAATAAAGTTATAATTCATTGTCATCATATTTGCCGTGATTTATGGAGTCTGTTGATTCACCAATCATGCTCATCTGACAATGGATCCAAAAATCCGTCTTGCGTGAAGACAGTGTATAAAAAGCGAAGCAGAAAAAAATTGCGAATGGACGGAACAGAAGCCAAAGAAAATTTCTTAAGCGGAAACCAATTCTCAATGTTTTGAACATTTGTTTATATTCCAATGACAATTTAACCACAAAATTTGTACGGTTTCAAGTTATTTAAATGATTTTGTTGATGCAATAGAGAAACAAACAATGAAATGCTGAAAAAAATTGTTGGACGCTTCAAAGCCTATAGCAAATGAAATTCAATGCCATTTTTTTTTAAATTTAAATGCGAATTTTGAACAAAGCCCATAATTATCATCAAATCTAACATTTTTGAAAGCACAGCATTTTTTTCTACATAGAATGTCTATTTTTGATTTTAGTCAGCACATACATACTTTTCGATAGAAAAAAAAATTAATTTAAAACTTTATTATTAAAACCGACCAGCACGCGCCGAAAACTCATTTATCAAATTTAATCGAATTATAATTGGAAAGTTTGGCTCTAAAATCTAGAGAATGTGCGGTCGACAATATTTTTGCATGTCTGCGTATTGAACGCCTGTTGCCCACTGCGGCGACCACAGGCGCTCACTAATGAAAAAAAACCACAAAACAACTTCAGCAAAATACTATGTTCAAAGACAATTCCAATGATTGAACACCATGCTTGTCAACAAAAAACCAGTAGTTACCACCATTTCTAGCAGACTGAAGCCACATTTATTGTATATTCCAACGTAATGTCATTACATATTATTTATGATTATGTACATCACAATTTTTTTTGTTTTGCGTCTCTGCATTCCCTTCGGTTTTTGTCTACATTGCGTTTGAGGTTGTGATTCATTTGTGAAATGCTTTTTGATCATTTGTCGTTTGGCGAAGCACTTGAAAAGTGGTTGGAGTTGATTTTAAATTTAACATGTGTACGATATACGCTCAATTTTGACATGAGAGTATTTGGGGGTGGTGCAAGTGAAAAATGAACAACATTCCATGGTAAATGGCAAAATTAAGCCGAACGAATATTTCATCGTAATAGTCGTTAAGCCTAGAACATTGTTATCGATATTATACATATGCATTAGACTGACAGTAATAATGACACATTTATTATAATCATTATTGTTGAAAGAAACATTTTTTCAGCAAATTGAAAGTAATTGTTTCGAATCGATTTTTGATGCCGACTGCAGCAGCGAACAAAATCAGTTTTTTTTTAACAAAAAGCATTTCAATGCAAACGCACAGGTGTATAGCATGAACAACTGTATTCATACACGTGCCATTCATAATTGGGGATGTAATTTCGATTTAGTCGAGGAACTTAATTACGATACAGATAAATGGAACAAATTGAATTTCGATCAAAATCTTACTTTTCAATGAACATTTGAATAAATCGACAACCGAATTATAAATAGAAAAAAAATCATTGCATTATTATCTGCAAACTGAATGGTTGCGAAGATTATGCCATAAATTGATAGCATAAAATGTTCTATTTAATATGAATGTATACCTAGTTATTAGAGCTGGTATTTAATAACGGAAGATACCGTACAAATGGGAACCCTTGCATTCCTTTTAAACTTAATTTACGTGCGTTGTATGTTCTCACTTTGAAATGACACACATCAACTGCCACCAATACCATCAGCACCATATCGTCCAAATGAATATATTGCTCTCTCACTAGGGTGGAACCCGTAAGTGTATATTTTATACACAACGATATCATCAGTTGGTTTATGCAATATTAAACATGGGAGAATGTGTGATTCACACACAGGGCGCATTCGAAATTCGAAAGGGGAGAGAGAGTGGTAGCATACAATGCTGTTATGACTTTATCTCAGTGCAATACGAAATGGATATTATATTTAAATCTGGTGTTCATTAAAATCAAGCAAAATACATCGCTAATAATAATCGGCCTGAAAAATGTTCGTCACCCCTTTCTCTCTGATACACAATGGTTTTAGTTTATACATTCAAACGGCGCTTGATGAGTATGAGTTTATAAATGATTGTCATTTACTGTTGCTTCCTATTACAACAGCATTCGCCTTAGAAGCAGTTTTTTCAGTTGCTTTTCATAGCATGGTAATGATTTTATAATCCCGTCAACAATTTGATGTGAAGATTTTAAATGGTGATAATGGCGAGTAATTGGAGCTAAGCAGTCCTATTATTATGTATTCAGATGGGTTTTTTGGCTAATCCACTTTATTTAGATGCTTAAAGACGATTTTGTTAGAAACGGACCATGTTCAAAAAGTACTTGAGTGAAATTCGCAGACAGGTCTTCGCATAACTTTGAAAACCGAATAAAATCAAACAAGAAACAAGGCAAAAAATCAGCTCAAAAAAGGTCTTCGTTTCAATTTATATAATAAATCTCAAACTTTCATCATCCATCGAGTGTATTCTGTGGCGCGTATTCTGTGTATAGAAAATACATTAATTACAATTTCACTGAACACAAAATAAATATTTGCATGGATTCAATAAAACTCTCAGCAATAATGTATCTGTTTTTTGTTTAAATTGTTGTTGACGATTACAACAGTAATTTTGGGATTTACCCGTTTCGAAAAAATATTATGCATCTTTCTTCAATCGAGAGAATCGACATGTAATTTTCTCGGGCCGAAAGTGAATTTGGATAAAATGTGTATACGCTGTTCAATCAAATATTTAATCAGTTGGGTCGAGAAGATCATTATTAAACGATAAATATAAATAAATGCCGTACCTTGGTCCCGTTCACAATGTACGAACGCAAATTTAAATGATTACATTTAAATAAGTAAACAAAGGGTGCATCAATGGACGCTTGATGTTATCAGATGATTTTCATTCAATATCACGATCAACGCATTTTAGTGATGCTTGTTTTATAATGTTGGCACACAATTTTAATAATCTTCTTTTTCTGCCATATTGTTGTAGTGCCGAAATGCGAGATGAAGTTATTTCTTTTATTTATTCGGGAAAATCAATATGGAAAAAAAAAATCCGAACAGCAGTGATGACGAAAAAATTGCGTTTTTTGTCGCGTTTTTGTCGAAAGTGTTGGTTGAGTGGCATTTTCTTTGAAATTCAGTTGTTGAATAGAGAATACAAACGCTTCAAGAACACACTTTAAATGGTTTTTTCTTCTACAATTGATCCATTTTGTTAGAGAAAAACATCAAATTTCACCACTTTACTCGATTAAATCGAGCTCAGTTTCTTTTTTTCTTCAGTAAAAATGCAAAATGAGATGCGTAGCATCATATTGGTGGTGCTGATTTGCCCATGAACACCAAAACACATGAACGAACATAAGGAAATGACATCAAGTGGTTTCATTCAACACAGAACGTGCTTCAGCTTTTGATGAATCTTATTGTTATTGAGCAAAGAAGTTGTGTCGCGAAACGATGCGGCTCATAAGACACTCATACAATGTAATTACGTTTGCACGATGCTCGTTGAGCATATTTCTTAAAGCGTACACGTTATTCGATTTGAAAGAGCATCTTCATCATTTCATTTCAACACTTCTGCGATTCTATTTTTTCTTCTTCCTCGGATATATATATCATTCAGTTGCCACTTGACTAAATTAATTTGTTATTTAAATTTAATTATCGTTTCGTGTTGCGTTTCGGACGACACTTGCAGACTCGCTAAATTTTCGATTGCGATGAATATATGCTCATTCAACAATGTCATTTGATAATTTCCACCAAATTGAAATTCCAATTGTTTCAGTTTTCAATTCGTATTTTTTTAGCAGCTCATAAAAAGTGGCGGTATTCATTTTCCAACCAATTTTTAATATCAAATTCACGATAAATTTGTTCGATTCCATTCTCTTTTTTTTTCACTTTATTTTTGATATTTGAAGCTATTCGTAATGCTCATAACTGTCATTCATTTATTTTGATCATTTATCTTGTTTTCATGTGAAAATCTGATTTAATTTATTTATGATACAATTGAAATCATTGATACAATTGAATCGGATACAATTGAAATCATTGTAAAGACTCATTAATAAATTCTCTTTTATATTTTTTCGTTTTCAGATTAGAAAAATTCGATCAGTTTAATCAGCCCAAACATGGATACGATAATGTTAATGGTGATATGGATTCACCAACTTCGTTTGATGAAATCGAACGACCACCGTTACGACACGTCGATAAGTATTGTCGCGCTCAATGTTTGAACTTGAGTGCTCGTTACACCGTCGCATTTATGGCTATGATGGGTTTTATTATCTCATTCGGTATGAAATGTAATCTAAGCGCTGCTAAATCCGAACTATATGGAAAGAATAATACAGAAAAGGAAGTAAGTATTTTTCAGTATTCCATGACTTTTGATACAATGCAAAAAAATTAATTCTATTCAAAATCTATTTGAAAAACGGAAAACCTTTTTTATCTTAAAATTAGTAATTAATATTTCTATCGTGTTCAAAACATTTTAAAACAAAAGCCAAAAGATAAAAAATCTTTGATTAGACTTTATCAATGTCGTCTATTCTCATGTATGATTCTCTCTTGTCTATTCATCCATTCAAAATGCCAAATAAAGAGTCTGTGGCCTATCTTTTTGTTAAAATCGATGATCTGATGTATGAAATATTTCTAAGTTGAAAAACTGAAATGATAAAATTTCCCTTTCATCATAAAATACATCGATAATCGTCATGGTTATGCCCGTCGCTGTGCCGAGTCAAGCAGCATTCCACGTTAATATTGGTTGGTTCGTTTTTGTCATCAGCATGCTTGTTGAATGGAATCAGGGGCGGTGAGCTGTAAACACAGATATGAATACGTCGGTAATATGCATTAAAACTCTTCATTTAATGCATTCTTCTCTTTCTTCGTGCACAGCGCCCACTTTTTTTCCTCATTTCACTTTTGCTTTTTCAATAGACGATTCCATTCTTTTCTCCCATTGCAAAATCATATGCCGTTCATGCCAAAACGAGAGCATGTCTTCTGTATCATATACATCAACCGTATTATACAAAAAAAAAATGTTAGATCTGGGTTGATGAGGGGCTGTTTTATTGTAAAATATAAAATATGAATACAATATTCGGTTGCATAGGAAATTTAACTTTGACAGCAAACGGCATTTGTTTGTAACAAAAATCAAAAAGCGTAACAAATTAAATGTCTTAATTTACGTGCTCAAAAGCCATGACGAAATTAATAAAGAAGCCAAAAAGTTGGAAACTTGGAATAGAACGTTTTTTGTCTTCTTCTTCAAAAAGTAGCTGCATGCAGTATTCAAAAATGAACATTTTGTTAGAAAAACGATTGAATAGACCATTTTCGCGGTCGACGAAAGAAGATTAGTTCCTTTCATTACTTGTTTTTTTATTTTTTTATGTTTTTAAGTTGAAATTTGTTAATAATTTTTGTTCTTTTACGTTCTTTAAGAATTGACATTTTTCACAAACTTTTCATTTCAAATTTCGAAAGAGAAAGCAAGAGAAAAGTGAAAATGGCGTTCATTTGAAATATACTCACAATGCGAAAATTTTATTTCATGGTTGAATAATGTTCCTTATACTCCAGAAATATGTCATTTGTCTCATTTCATTCGACTTCCTAAAGGAGCCTTTTTTTCTTGTTGTAAATGGTTCGTTCGAATTCGATAAATCGAGCCCAACCGTCAAATGTACATTATAATGTTTCGAATAAAAAAAGGGAAGAGAGAGAGAGAAAGAGATGAGTTATTCCATGTAAAAAGTCATTTGGTTGATGATGATGTCCCCAGCCCTTGTTTCCTGTTTGCCAGCACATTGTTGTTGTTCTGTAGTTTTTCCTTTCACAATCTGGCTCAGGGAATCAGGAAATGGAGCAGCTTTTATACGTATTTGGTGTGCATTGTATATGTGTTATGGATGGTAAATGCTGCTGTTATATCCGCAATCGACGTCGTCGAATCTGGAATATGCGGAAAGTATTAAATGGAACAATGTTTGCTTGCTTTCATCGCAACCCAATACCCGTCACACATACACATCCAAATACGCTTTGGCTATACACACAGATTATGACATAATTCATGTTTTATGCAGAAAAAATAATAATAATAATAATATGGAATTTCTGCATCAAAATCTTATGTGAAATGTGTGTATGACTAGATCGGGTGAATGTGTAAAATGTGAAATTGTTGTTGATGTATTTGAATTGATGACGTCTGCTGATATTATTATTATTCGAATGTGAACAATACCCCGAGTGCCGGTTGCCTTTCATAATTTTGTTTATGAATTGGAAATCCTCTTTATTGTATTCTATTTAGCCCATAGCAGCAGTCTATTAATCCAAAAATCAAATTGTGAATCGCTCATTTGAAGCAGTGTTACACTTGAATACTCATCAACTCAATTCATGCTCACTAGCGCATGCCGTGTTTTTTTTTCTCTCCTATCTTCTTCGATGATGATCATGATGACGATATTGAATCGCATTTTATTTTCCAGAGTGGAGGATTGCAATACTGGGACGCTGTCACAGAGGGTATAGTTGATTCATCATTTTTCTGGGGATATTTTGTCAGTCAAATATCTCGCTTCATATATTTAGCTCTGTTATTTTATTTCTATTTTGTGGCAGCAACGCTCCAGATAAAGTAATCAAAAAACAACAACAGGAATCAAATGCGAAACATCAAAAAATAGTGAAAAATGTCAAAAGTGAAAGATTCAATGTTAGTTTTGTATTGTAAAGAACAATGCCAAAAAGTGAGCCAGTTGTCATTGCTTGTAAATTTGTCCAACCCTGCGACTATCATAACAAAACAACGAACGTTTAATTCACGATAGAAGGATTCACTCGAAAAATCAAATGAATTTTTTCAGATATAAATATAAAAAAAATTATTTTATTTTTATCATTCCAATTATTTTGAATGATAAATACTTTTACTTTTCCGCACACTTAGTGTCAAAATGGGTCAAAATTTACGACACTCCAAAAAAATGTTTTCTGGACGTTTTCGAGCCCAGAGAACCCGAATCAAGCCATTTTTAGCATGGTTGTTGTAGGTCTGTTCCACTTGGTACGTTGTCCGCCGTACGCATGTCGTTGTCCGCCGTACACGATGATTGAGGGTCGCGAAGAAAAGAAATCTTTAGATTCATCATTTTTGGTTGATGGACAAACCTTTCATGTCTGAAGTGATACCCATGAAAAAGAGTCCAATTTTCGTCCAAGTCATACTTTGTGTATACTTAAACACTCAAATACTAGGGGATATCCATGCGAATTAGAATTAGCACATTAGCAAAAAAATAGGGAAATTTACATGAAGAAAATAGCAAAATTAGCAATAAATAGCAGAAGTAGCACTGTACACGTATATACTTTAGTAAGCATTTATTCTTGAATATATTGAAATAATTAATTGAAATAAAATTCACAAAACAAATGAATTGAATAGTGTTGAACTAAAATGTATCAAAATATGTAGTTAAATACGCTTTTTCTCATTTTTAAACAAACATATATTCAATGGCACGTAACCAAGCACGTTTCATCTGTATTAACTACAATTTACGAATTGCAATCGGAAATGTAGATTTGATGACAGATTTCTTACTGAAAACGTATACGCTAGTGCCTGCTTCAAATATACACGTTGAAAGTGTCAACTTGAAACATTTACGTAAACACATTTCAGTTATTCGATCATGCTGTCAATCTGACGAATGCGATATTTTTGACGTACTAGAAAAATTAGCAAAAAATAGCAGTATTAGAACAAACTAGTAGAAATACTAGCAGAATTAGTGAAAACTAGAGAGAAATAGCGTTTATTATTATAAATTATTCGATCTGCAATTCACGGTTATCCCCTAGCTCAAATATATTGATTTGGGGATCTTTTTGGCACGAGAAAACCGAATCCGATGTTAGTTTTAAGATACAATAAATGTTTGACACAGTTTCTTTAAAAAAAACCACAAAAAATTGAATTTTTGTATGGGAGCCATACCTGCATGATTTTTCCGAAATTCATCTAGAAATTTTTAAGATTTTCATCTTATCTTATTGATTGAGATGATTAATTATAAGCAAAAACAGTGTACCAGTCACAGAAGAGGTCTTGTATCACTTCGTGTCCGTAGTTTTACACTCATTAACTCAATTCATGCTCACTAGCGCATACCCAGAAAGAAAAAATGTGGTATTTTACCAACTTTTCGAAACTACAGGTGATGCTAGCCCATGAATTTTGTGAATGTAATGAAGCAATTGTTAAAACTTATTCAACTAATAGCGAGTATCACTTACAGTCGGCTTTCAACGCGACTCGATTTAAGAAGCGCCATCTCTTTCACGCCAGGTTCTCATATATTTTTTTCTTGCAAATATTTTTTTCTTGCAAAATTGTATAAATTGAATAAGTTTTGCAATAATAATAACGAAAATAATTAATAGAATTTATAATAAATAAAAAAATTGAAAAAACACTCAAATATCTTATATTATATGATTCACCAGAATAGCTTCACTTCGTGTTGTTTACGTTGTTTCTTTTGACAGATATAAATGTTTGACAAATACATATTTTCTCCACGTAACCATCTCTACATGGTCTACAAGGCAAAGCTACCTCATAATACGAGAACCATATAATATAAAATATTTGTGTGTTTTTTCATTTTTTTTTATTTATAATAAATTCTATTAATTATTTTCGTTATTACTATTGCAAAACTTATTCAATTTATGCAATTTTAAAATTTTGTTTGCAAGAAAAAAATATATGAGCTCCTGGCGAGATAGAGATGGCGCTTCTTAAATCGAGTCGCGTTCAAATACATTGTCACTATAGAACGTAAGTGACACTCTACTAATAGTCTCTTTTGAAAAATATGCCTCAGAGATGTAAAAAATGGTAAATTTAATTCGTTGTTGGTTGATTTTATATTAAATCTACCAAAATTGATTTAAAAATACCACATTTTTTCTCTGTGTGTACCATGTTTTTTTCTCCTATCTTCTTCGATGATGATGACGATATTGAATCGCATTTTATTTTCCAGAGAGGAGGAATGGTACACTGGGACGCTGCCACAGAGGGCATGGTTGATTCATCATTCTTCTGGGGGTATTTGGTGACCCAAATTCCGTTAGTACCTTTGCGTTAGTAGACGCAAAATTTTTTTTTGTTCAAGTTAAAAGAAATGTTTTTTTTTCTGTACCGAAAATTCACAAAATTATTCAATAATCATTTATTTGCATCCGATCAAAAGAGGCGGTTTTTTAGCATCGTTTTTCCCAGCAAATCGCATCTTTGGTGTGGCCATTATAACATCAGCACTATTGAATATGACTGTTCCGGGTGTATTAGAGAATCTTCCCATGTTGATAACGATTCGAATTATGCAAGGTTTGGTAGAAGTAAGTACACACCGCGATTGAATTCTTGACTTAAAAAGTAATAGAGAAATGTGTTCATACCTTTTTTTACTATTAACAGGGTGTAGCGTATCCAGCGTGTCATGGTATTTGGCGTTTTTGGGCACCGCCAGCAGGTATGCGTGTAAAACAGTGTAAATGTATATGAACCATGTAATTCACATTACTTATTTTTGTTGACAGAACGATCTCGATTGGCGACCATTGCCTTTTGTGGTTCGTATGCTGGAATTGTGATTGGTATGCCCATATCTGGATTTCTTGCGCAATATATCAGTTGGAAAGCTCCATTTTATTTCTATTCAATTGCTGGCATCGTTTGGTATTGCGGTTGGCTTTGGTTAGTTTTTGAACGGCCCCGTGTACATCCAACAATCACAATACCAGAAATGAAATACATAGAAAAATCACTTGGCGAAAATACGAGCCACACAATGCCCACAATATCTTCTACTCCATTTGAAGGTAAATACCATAACCTTACATTTATCTCACATACCTTACATTTACCTTACATTTGAAGATATCGCGAAGTCAATGCCCGTTTATGCAATTATTGTTGCCAATTTTTGTCGATCATGGAATTTCTATATGTTAGTGCTGTATCAAAGTAAATTTATGGAAAAAAGATTTGGCTACAATACGTCAGAGGCGGGTTTAGTTAGCGCATTACCACATTTGGTAATGACAATGATAGTTCCTTTTGGTGGAGTACTAGCCGATCACCTACGCAAAACTGGCGCTATGTCAACAACAAGTGTTAGGTAAGTTCGAGAGCAAAAAAACAATGACACACAACAAATATTACGTCCTCGTTCTAACTTATTGTATTCTTTCCTTTTATTCGATTCTAGAAAACTTTTCAATTGTGGAGGCTTTGGCATGGAAGGTTTATTCTTTTTAGTCGTTGCACGCGCAAGTACAGCGGTAAGCATGAATATTTCAATCATTAAATGATTGCAAATACCATATTAAATTCGTTTGTGTTGCGCAATTTAGAAAGGTGCGATGACCGCTCTAACATTTGGTGTTGCATTCAGTGGTTTTGCCATATCTGGTTATAATGTGAATCATTTGGATATTGCGCCAAAGTACGCTAGCATATTGATGGGATTATCGAATGGCATTGGTACATTTGCTGGCCTATGTTGTCCGTTCGCTATCGACTATTTGACCAAAGTAAGTGTTTATTCATCAAAATCATTTATAATTTGCTTAAAATCAGAGACGGTTTTTCAGAGGAGAAGCGCTCTAAGGAGCTCAAAGTTCCTACTCAGTGAGAAACAAAATATCATGAAACTGATAAAACTTTCATCGTGAAAACTTGTGAATCTTATTTTCTCACCAAAATACATAATCCCAACAAGTTTAAAGAAATGCGCATTGAGAGCATAGTACATCCCATACCAAATTTTCACTGTTTTTTTTGGAATTTGTAAAAATTTTCAGAATGTTATTTTATTACGAATTAAATAGCCTGCGCAAAGTTTCACGACATTACGATACCATAAAAGTATGGCTCCCATACAAAATCGACATTTTTGGTGATTTTTTCAAATTTTTGTACGTGGATTTTTTACATATATTTCTCCGAAAAACAGTGTCTGTTTAAAAATAAATCACATGGAATGTTTTTTTGCGACACTTTGATATCATATCACTACTATATAATATTATACTATTCTATTGCCGCATATAATTTTGCAAAAGAAAAAAAAACTCCCCCAAAAAATGTGGACAGCATTCGGTTTCGATGCCAACGCTTTACATTCGTTCGGCACGAATGCACCTCATTCAATCAAGTTAAATCGAATTCTTTAAGCTACCATTATATTGTTCACGGTAGAGAGATTTGCAACGTCAAAAAATGCACTTGTTACTAGTGTGGGTGTTTTTCGGCGTTAAGATTTCGATTCGATCATTTTTGCTATAATGGTGATTTTACTAGAAAAAAATCATTTATTTCATCAGTATTTTTCAGCTCACGTTATTATGCTGCCAAAGTTTTATGAATAGTGTTTTGAAAAATCGTCTATATTTGTTTCTAGGATGGAGACGGATGGTCGGTTGTGTTTACAATTGCTGCATTGGTGCATTTGTTTGGTATAACATTCTACGGTGTGTTTGCGTCAGGAGAATTACAACCTTGGGCCGAACCGCCCGCTCAAGAGCAAACTGTATGGAGTCCATCCAAAGTCGGTTATCCAACTGCTGAAACTGCATTTGTATGTATTTTTCTATCATATTTTTTTTTGCTTCTCTTCAAACAAAAAAGTCCTTCATCATGATGATTGTAACCATATTGTGCGCATTTCGGTTTTAATTTCATATTTATTAGAATGAGTCGGCTGATCCAACCACTCAAATTAATATTAATGCGGGTGCAAATTACGGTGCAGTTGGTCATGTGGCAAACAATCCATTTGCATCAAGTGCCGCATCGATGGTCGAAGAACCAGTTCAACCAGAAGCCAGAGATAAGTACATGCACGGCACGACAGACGACAGATCATACTAAACAATATCCAAATCGGTGAAAAAATTTGTATTCATTTTTGGGCCATAAACAAATGAGAATTTTATTTACTGTTATCAAATAACTATTTGTTTTGTAAATATTTCTTTAGAAAAAAAAAGTATTATATATATAAAACATGAAAACAGATTAAATATATTTACTGAAAAATAGACGTTTCTTGAAAGGTATTTAATTACTTCAATTAGAACATCAGACGGAGCATAGCCCTGATTTGCATGTTCTCATTCTTCATTCACATAAATTTAGTTAGGTTTTTTGGAATAAACAAGTGACATTTGTAGACCATGTTTCGTTCAAAAAATATTGTAATTAAATCGAGAGCCAAATATAAAAAGAGATATGTCCCAGAAACAACAATAGGGTAAAAATTGCACTGAATTGAAAATTTGCACAATGCACAAATCTAGTTTATTTTGAAAAAATTCTCATTTATTTCGTTGTATAGCACCACAATCTGTCAGTCATATCTTATGCACATATATATTTTCAACACTTTCATTGTTATTTAAATGCACCAGAGATATTTTAATTTTTGTTGTAGACACAACACACTTCGCTGTTGAATTGTAATTCATTTATTGTAATGTTCAGTGTTTTCCATTTGTTGAAGATAAATAAATAAATAACGCACATTCTAGTCAAATAAACATAAGTCATCATCATATCAATGTATGATAATTGAATAGAAATATGATTGAAGCCTTGCCATACATATTCGTTTTGCTATAAAATACCAAAATATGGCATAGCATCACTATGCACTATCCGAAAGTGCTTGCTGAATTACAACGTTAGCATAGTATAATCAGTGAAAAATTTCAGAATTTTAATTTGCATTGCCATGGACGGCTTGGGTGAATATTTCTGTACTTTTTCCAAACATTGCAACATATTAAAACAAAAGTAAAAGAAGAGGTTCAAATTAATGCATAGTATGATTACGCGTACGTGTATATAGATAATATATGATATTAATTCTTGATTAAGGCTCTTGTAAGTTTTCCTGAAAATTGCGTTCTACATATATATATTTTGATTAAATCATCGGTTCGTAAGAGATTGGCTTCAGTAGCATTGGTTTCAAGAAATCACTGCGAAATTTCAGAAATTCTATATTTACATTTATCATTTGTTTCAATTCAATAAGCTTTCTATGTTATTTTTCATCTAAATCATTTCAAAGGTATTAAATTTTTTTCGTAACTTCATTTCCACTACGAAACTTTCACGGAGCAAGACGGAGTCAGCGTTTTTTAGAACCTAAGTTTTCAAAGAGTTGACAAAGTAAGGGTTTTGAATAAAATAGAGCATGAAAAGTAGAAGCCTTCTTTTCAGTGGTGGCGAAACTTTCTACTAAACTTTTCAAAAGACACAACTTTTCATTTTTAATCAATAAAATACACCGATACTGTTAGCGAAAAAGCTAGTAAAAACTTACTTATTTTATTGATATTTTCAAAATTCATTTCTCTTCTCGGTAAATTAAACATCAAAGTATTTTGTTTTTGTTTACTATCCACCGCAGATGTTTTATGTTCAAATAAAACTTTTACTAACGTTCGAAATGGCTTTGCATTTTTAATTCAACAGATATTTTTTTCAGAGCAATATATGAGAAGGAGGGGCACTTTGAGGAGCAGAAGGAGGCACTGATGAGTGGAGCAAAATATTAAAAGTTTAAAAAAATTCAAATTAATAATAAAATTAAAATTTTCGATATTTTTTAACTTTAAATATTTCCTCCCGTCCTCCGTCTCCTCCTCACATATATTGCTCTGAGAAACAGTCTCTGTAATCCATGTCTTTTATGCTTCTCTTCCATCAATCTTTCTAACTCTGCTCTCATTCTGGCCGCTATAATTTTTATAAATTAAATAATAATTTCCTTATTCTACAAGTGTAAAAATAATAATTAAAAAAACCTACTATTCAATTCAATTGACATTATGTCAAACTTAGGCGTTAAGGTTATTTCAAGTTAAAGCTGTAATTATAAATAAAATTCTTCAAAACGATGCTCACTTTCCCGTAATGCAAAGTAAAACAAAATGTAAATATAGCAAATGGAAAATCAATTGGCGGTAAATAGTGACGACATGACAATAAATCAATAATAAAATCTATCCTCGATAGAACTTAAGATGTAAGAATTTTAGCATTAAGATACCTTTAAGTCAGACATTTTCGTTTAAATATTGAGTATAATTTTCAAATGAACTGAATCGGTAGATCATAATTTTGTGTTTATTTTTGAGATTGAAAATGATGAATTTGTTATTCTCATAAGTAAATTTTTCGGATCGGTTAAATCGAGATTGGTCGGGAATGTGGAATTATAGGCTTAAGAAGAATATATACTTTTAACTAGAGTGATAAGGCTTTTGTTCGGGGCATTGGAATACTGTTTTTTTAGCTCAAATTCTGCCTTTCAGTTATATTCAGTCGTATCAAATCCGAAATACTTCACTATCGTTTGTCAGTGAGTTTCAACTGATTTATGACAGATTTGAAAGCATTCGGACAATATACGACATTGGAATTTCCATCAATTCGAACTTGAAACTTACTCATCCATGCATTTAGACTGTATGATGTTGAAACAATTATTCCATCGAAAGAAGACAAGTTCGAATTGAAGCTTAAGCTTAATTTACATTTAAGTATCTTATATTATGATTTATTTAAAGAAATTATTTATAATGAAATGATTATGGCCATACTATTCATAAGGTTAAGATAATTAGTTTTAATTCTAGTTTTATGACATAAGAAAATTATTATAATTACAAATAATTAGTTTGTTTAGTTTTTTTGAGAGAACTCACTCTCAAAGGCTGTGTCGACAATAAATATCGCGAAAAGCACGAATGGATTAGACTAAACAGCGTAATAACATGTAATATAATGATAGCAAAATGAGATGAAGCCACGACATAAAATGTATAATAGTGGAAACAAAATGAATAAAAGCCACTTATAAAAATTAGTCGAAATTTATCACACATCGACCACATACGTCACACATCGAGTTTACAAGGTGGTTTTACTCAATCCATATTCTGAGGATAAATTTGGTACGATTTTCGGGAATTTTAATGCAAATTTCGGAAATGTTGGTACGAATTTTATCCAGATTTTTTCCACATTCATTTAGTGAATTAAATTAACTAAAGGTGAAAAGGTTAATTTGGACGATTAAAATCTCAAGTTCATCCCTTCACTTTTACGCTCTAATGAGTGAATGTCAGAAAATTGAAATGCACCGACATCGACTATGTACTTATAATATTTAATTAGTCATTTTCAGTCACATCAAATACGCAAACCAAACATAAAGCAATAGAATGTTCTTCTCCATAATCAATAGTGAAATCATGTGCACCATGTGTGCTCGATATGTGTATGTGTGTGTGAGCATGTTTGAGAAATTAATCTATATAATTCAAACGAAATTTGTACTATATAAGGGCATAATTGTGAAAAAACGGTACTAGAACCGGCCACATACTTGCTACCTTAAAATTGCTGATTTATGACAATAAAACCAATAGTTAAAAAGAACGAAATTAATTTGAATGAATAAATATCAAATTATTTGTGTGAAAATAGGATGAGATAGAACAATTAATAATAAACACTTAGATTATAACATTTAGATAATTAATTATGAAGACTTTTCTGATTTATTTTCTATTCTAGTGTATTTCGATATAATTGTCTATTTAGCAAGAGTTGACGCTTTCACAAACACTTGTGCATTTTGTCAATTCTTTTCGGTTCATTTTTCGTTCGTTTTAATTTTTAAAAGAAATTCTGTTGCAATATTCAATGTGTAGTTTAAACAAACAAACAAAATGTTAAGTATTCCATCGAACTCAAGCCCTAACAAAGTCATGTCCTTAAATTGCATCATTTCGTCGAATTGTGATATGTATGATTGCTCGCAAATTGGAAAAAAAGTTCTAATAGTATTAATCTTTCTATGTTAATGTGTGCACATTTTTATTTCGATTTTCAAAATACACAATTATATTCACTTCTATTCGTATATGCACCACACTATTTCATGCACTAGCACGTACTTCTTAATTACTTGATGCACTTTAATTTATTTGTTTTTTACACAGACTGTTTCTTGGAGTGTAGAAGTGTGCTCCTCAGAGCGCTTCCTCACTGCTCTGAGAAACAGTATCTGCTTTTTTGTTCATTTAGTGAAAATTGTATAAAACTAAAATGTGACTCCCTGCTAATTTGGAATTATATGATAACAAGAAGATGTGTAAATGACTTAAGTTTCGTCGCAATCGAAATCATAGCAAAACTTACTTTTGAGCATGATATTTAGTTTGAATTATGATTAATAAACGTTTAGTTCATATATCACATTTAGTCACTTCTATTCCAATTTAAAAAAAAACACCTATAGCTGATAAGTTGATGTAATAGAATTGCTGACAGCAACAATATTCTGAACAATAAACACAGTTGAAGAGCACGAAATGGTCACAGCATCAAAAATGTGCCCAAGGGCCACACTCGAATGAGTGAACTTGACTCTTGTTGATGCATCACCGCTCACATTTGGCACACTTTTGAATTTGTGCGAACATGCTGTGAGTCGCAGCTCTGCAGTATAATACAGAATATTGTTACTCCCACCAGTTCGACCTTTAAAAAAATGTTTATCCAAGAACTGAGAAAATAAATTGAGATCTCGTTCGAGATAGAAAGAAAACCCTTAATAATCCGAAACCATTACCTAAACGAATTGCAAAAAAAAAACATATTTACGATTCTTAACAATTATATCGTTGTTAAATGTTTATATAGATGTAGATAAGTCAATTTGAAAATAAATGGACGCAAACATGGTCAAAACGGAAGAAGAAGAAGAAGAAAGAGAAGAAAAACCAAAAGAAATTTCAACCGCCAAATGGTTCATTTGCAATGCTGTATTTAGGACAAAATTAATTTCATTGTGAATAATTATTATAAAATTAAAAAGAAGTTTTTAAACATAAAATAAACAACAAAATCACACACCCATACAAGAAATATCAATTAAAAATGAGATGAACGATGGAGCTTCGAATCACAGTGAACATAAAACGGCAATAGACATGACCTAGATCAATAAAACACCGAATATTTATCAATACATTAAAATATATATACACACACGCAAAACCGTCGGTCGATCAGTTTGCATTTTGCATATAATATTAAAAAATGAATATTTAGATTGAGTGTATGAATGTTGAGAAATGAAATTGGGAATGTAAACAGTAACAACAAACAAATATCACGCAGCATCAAAATGAAAACGCTTAAGATAAATTATTATAGCCAAATATATCATTGGAAATGAAAATGACATTGATTATATATATATATCCACAAAACAACGATGCAAGATTGTGACTTTGTTCCAAACAAAAAAAAAAAGAAAATGCGCAAGTTGTCAAATTTCAACAGTATACAATGGACAAACCGACAACAAATAAGAGAAAACAACAAATTCTTCCCATAAATTAATCTGTTGGACATAATTTAGAGTATTTTGAGAAAAAGTTAAAAAAAAACACAAATGCGAATTACAAACCAAAATCATTTGAATTGTATAAAACAAACGGCTATTGCCATTAAATCATTTCATGAATGGATTTAAAGAAGAAAGCAAGAGAAATAATAAAATGGCAGAGATAAAAATTAACAATTATTCAATGAAAAAAAGAAATATAAGTATTTCCAAACCAAATTGACTATACTATTCCAATTGAAAGACAAAAACATAACATTAGTTGAACATTTCATTCATTACACATACAATTTATTTAATAAAAATTATTAACAACTTTAAAATTATAAGTCTGTCAGATACGAAGAAAAACAAAACACACATTCAGATTTTTGCTCATACCACAAATACCATAGAAAACAGAGAAAAAAATACAAATTATGAAAAAATGAGGAAAAAAACACAACATATAACATTGAAAAATGTAATTTCAAAAATAGAGACAGAATAATAAATCTTATTATATACTGTTTAAATAAGTCAAGAATTGCATTTTAAATCAAGTTCATTTAATTTTCATGCTCAAAACAGAGTGTGCGAAACGAAAAGGGCAAGGTTATTTACCGGTTTCATGGTTTGCCATTGATCTTTTTCTGCCTTATTTTTTTTTTATTAGATTTTATGGTTTTCGTTCGGTAAGAATACATTTTTTTTTACTTTATCTATGGTAATTTATTTTCGTTTCCTTTAAAAAGGGTTAAAAAAAAATTGTTTATATCACATTTTACGTCGTAGATAACTTTTTTTATATGACAAAAAGAGTTTTGTTATTGTACATTTTTAGAAAAAAAATGATGTTTATCGTATGCGGCTCATTTTCTCAATCCTGCATATTTTTGATCATTTGATCCTTCAGCGTTGTTAGGGTAACCACGAGCAAATGGAGGATCAGGATTTGTTGTTACGTAGTATACACCACGAGCTCTGTCATTATTTGAATAAAAGAGTATTACATTTTAAATAATATTTACGAAACATAATCAAGTTTTGGAATCATACTTTGGTGTGCAATGTTCTCCCATCAAAACGTATTCTTCATCTTTTGGATGACACCAGCCCAGTACGTATGTTAGTAAATTTCGACAAGGTCCGGCCCAAAAGCCTCGATCACTGTTGATCGACTCGATGAAATATGGCGTGACTTTTGTGTGATCACATGCAAGTGTTTTGAATAGTGTTGAACTCGCGCAACCTATAGAAAAACCTCATTTCAATAAACTGTTGTGTTTACCAAACATTTTTGATTGGCATTTTTTTCTCTAAAAAGTGGACAGTTTTACCTGGTTGACTAGTTCCTCCGTTGACATAAAAATCGGCGTGACCACTTGGAGTCCATTGACCTAAAATTCCGGCGCCCGTGTGCAATACATCCACAAAATGTGCGTCACTCTTGTCCAAATCCCGTGTAGTGTTTGTAGTCGAATAGAAAAATATAGTGGGATCCAAACCTATTTAAGAAATAACTTCTATTATTAAAAAAAGAATCAAATCATCGAATTGAAAAAAAAAGTGCATACCGGTAATTCGGCCAAGTTTTCCCTCTTCCGGTTTAAGATGATTGGCCACTAGCCCAGCAATATGCGCACCAACCGAATAGCCGATTAAATGCATATTATCGGGCCGCACACCACGTGGATGATTCGCAATATACTTAACTAATTGTGCAATACATAAACTACCAAACCGTGGTGCCTGCAATGCACAAAGAAACAAATCAATCAAAACGTGTGCTTTATGTGCACCTTTTCAATTAACTAACCCATTCCATTTGACTTAAACATGGTTCTTTCACTGCCCGACTATAGTCGACAATTATGATATTGTAATCGCCCAATCGAAAATATGCTTCAATAAGAAAAGGAACAAAAGAAAAGAAATAATGAGATATGGCGGGAAAAAAGCGCACGATCGATATAAATCAAACCTTCACGTAAATCGGGACTAGGTGAGAAATTTCGACCGCCACCAAAACCATGGATGATAATTTTCGTTGGATGTGCTCGATTAAAATGCGTATAATAAAGTGCTTCTGGATCTAGTACATCGAGTTTTTCGGGTCTTTTCATAGTTCTTCGCGTATATAAATAAAATTCAATTTTCGGATGAGGACATCGATACGGCTTTTCAAAGCATGATTTTGTTTTAAACACGCTCGCCTCGGTCGTCGTTTCAGCTTTTTGTGCTGCACCTACACGAGAGAAGAAAAAAAAATGTATACATACTTTACTCATAAATACTATTTGAATTGACTTGTTGAAATGGCAGTGCTGGCGATGGGGTTAATTACATCTGAATATATTTAGATTTTTTACAGAAAAATAATATATATCGGCTGTGTGGATCTTAATGCATTTCGTATAATTTGTTTTGTGCGTGATACTAATTACAACACCGCTTCGCCACTTTTAACAGAAGAATTACATAAAATGCAAGAACTTGAAAATGCAAATAAATTCAACGCCAACAAATAGCGCAAATAGATAAAACTTCAAATTCATAGACAACTTTGTAACATTTTTTTTTCATTTCATTCGTTTGCGTTGCGAATAATGCCGACTTTTTTTCGCAGTATGCATTCACGTGCGATCGTATTGCAAACGCTAGAAATAGTAATTAGACCCATAGTGACTGTAAAAAAAATTGAGAAGCCACACCGCGCATGTATTCCAGTTAGTAGATAATCGTAATTAAGTTTATAGTTTTTAAATGTGTTTTATCGTTGGGGTAATTGTTAAAAGTCATTAAAATTGTCAACGCATCGCAAATGTTCTGATTTATTCCGCTCGGAATATAGATATCGTTTATTGAACTTTGTATATACAACACATACAAACACACACACACACACATACACCGAACGCTGATATGTATCTGATTGCACGTACGGTTTTTTAATTTCTCAAATGGATATTTCGGACTCGTTTTGACGTAATTTCCCCCTTGCTGAAGATTAAAAAAAAAATGTGCCGATTTCTTATTTTGTCGATCACACGATTCACGATTGGATGTGATTAACATTAACCTCCATGCGGTAAACAAATGAATGGTATTTAACATGAGCACGGCAACCGTTCATCCAGTGAGTGGCGAACGCGTACAAAATGTATCAACGCAAAGCTGTTCATATGCACACCAAACATACACATGGCAAAGCGTTGAGTTCGAGCGCATTTTAAAGTGAAAGTCTCCATCATCGACATTTCTTCGGCGAAGTCTTCTTTTAGCGAGGTATTATTGTTGTCTGCTTCATCGTTTCGTCTTGGATTCGTTAACAACAACAGCATTAATGCACATTGCTTGAGGTCTTTTGTTGCTTTTTTTTTTTGTTTCATAGCAAGTTATTGTCGGTATTTGTTTTACAAATTTGGGTGATTATCGCCTTTTCTCCGATTCCAAAGAAGTAGAAAATAATTGAATTTTGTTTTCATTTTGATCGAATAATGTTTTTTTTTTTTAATTTTCGATTGACGTGGTTCCACACATAAAACACATACAGACGTTTTTATTTTTAAATATCGCGATTAATTTTTGCACACACCAGTTAGCAATAATTTACAATATGCGGAAATAGATAGATTGCATTGCATTTAATATTTATATAGAACGATTGCCGTTTTTGTTTGCAAACAAACGAAAGTGAATTTGATATTTATTCGAATCGAAGAAAACAATTCATACATAAACGTATGGCGTGTGTGCTTAAACTTTCTATTCAATCGGTGAATCAATCACATACGGCAGTGATACCTACACACTACCTCATTCATTTTACTGTTATTTGATTATATGGAATGAAGAAAACATGCGTTCCAGAAGAAGAAAAAAACCCAAATCGAAAATATGGTGAAATGCCATCGGTAAAACGTGATCAAGTATACCTTTTGATACAAAGCGACATTAAGAGCGCTCAACCGATAATATAATAGTATGTTGTCAAGAAGATATGTTTCTTTAAAAAATCGTTGAACTTGCACGACGAAGAAAAAAAGAGACCATTTAATCATAGTTCACTCTCGATTAGATAATGATGTTATTCAAGCTTGTGATGCGTAATATGTTGGGATTACATTCACTTTGTACGCAAACTTTTCGATGACAATTCCACAACAAACTCACCTGCAAAAGCCACCAATGCCAATAGAGAGATCACTGTTAACGTCAAAATGCCAAAACAACTCTTCATGCACATGATTCTCCTTTTTAAAACATTATCCAATTTTGATGCGGTTGATTTTTTTGGCGCTGTCGCGTTACTTTTTCTTAACTAAATTTCCGATATCGTATTTATATTCTCTACTGGTAGCTTCCCAATGATTAGCGTCTATTACACACAGATTACGTTGACTTTTATTACAGCAACTAAATGCAGTTACAATCAAACAATAAAAGTATAGTATCACTTTCGCTCGATCGTATTATTATTTCGTTGAACGCACATAATGTCTACTGCTTCAGTTGCAACCAGTTTTTATGTACGTGTGTGTTTATGGTTTGTTTTTTATTTTATTTTCAACTGAGATACGATTGCACTACACTTAAATTGCATCGAATTTTCCAGTCGTCTGTGTTTTATGGATTGAATAACTGTAACAACTGAATCCGAATCGAGAGGTAATATTGTTTCAATGGTTATTTTTTTTTTCTAAATTAAATTTGCTCGGAATTTTTCCTTTTCTGAACGCGTTGTGTAACACAAAACAAGTTTCAATTGAATAAAGAATATTATTATCAATTTTTTTTGTAATGCATCAATCCGTGTGTAATACAGAGCAAAGTCGTAAATGCATTGGTTCCGACTGCGCACCACACGCTTTCATATTATGCTCTCAAGCTTCCGACGACGTACCAATTAATTTATGATATTTTTTACAGGTTCTTTTTTTCTTTTTTCGTTGTCACACTTCACTGTGCTTTTTTTTCTTCTTCACGATTTGGGTTAGTGTTCGACACGTAAAAAAAATTGTCATAAAAATGTTGATCGACGCAGTAAAAAACGTAAACCGAAAAATTGTGTTGTTTACAGAAAGCCGGCGTATTTCGAACTGTGTTTTTTGTCTGTTGTTCGAGCACGATCGACGGCAAACTCGAACATCGAATGTATAGTGGGAAACCCCACTTTCCATTTTTTAAAGTCTTGGCGGAAGGTTTGATGCTGATTTTACATTTTTTAAGGCGACATGGAAGGTGATTCAAAATATTTCACGTAACTCAGATTTATATCGCAGCCATGAATCATTGGTTTTAGAAAAAGCATATGTGATTTTTTCAACTGCCACCCTGTTGATTTGTGAATGCAATTTTTTATGCACTTCGTGTGTTGGTCACAAATAACCTTAACGCCAATTAAGATTCAGCGATTGCAACAGAGTAATTTGCTCACGAGATCGCTTCTTGATTGACATCCATTCGGTTAGACATTCTTGAATGAAATTAGACATTTGTACGAGATTCAATGTTTCAAGATGATTTCAGTTAGTTGTCTCCTTGGAACAACCGAAATATGTTCATGGAAATGAATTAAAACACTAAATGACGAGAAAAGAAACAAAAGTCACTAACTTTTTTGGAATTTTTATTCATAAATAATTTACAATATCACCTTTTGCGCTACTATTTTCACATGCTTACAATAAATTTTGTGATAAGTTCATAAATGTTTGTGGTTCAGGGGCTTTGTACTCTGTGTTTTAATGTCTATTTCTTTCTATGTGTATGAATGTAACAGTTGAACTTGTTAAAGCTACTCTTGTTTTCCTCTTGCATATGGACTCTCGCGATTTGTATACACCTATAACATAAAAACAGCACATTTTTTCATCAAAATCATTCGAACTGCTTACTGATCAATATTCGATTTTTTGGGATTATTTGTATCTTACCATATATACACCTTGAGATCTGCAGCAAAAAATAAATAAATATTTAAGTTCAACCGCACAAAATCATAATAATGATTGCTTAACGGACTAATTTTAGTTTGTTAATATTTCTATTCAAATCACATTGAAAAGAAATGATCAACAAAACATTTATTATAGAGAATATTTGCATAGAAAATGAGTTTGCATTGAGTGGTCGAAATTGACACAACCGCCCTACTCCCTCATCGAACAACTTAATTTGATATAATTAGTGGTGAAGTTAAAGGTGACCAACATTTTTTTGACGGCCAACACCAATTATATTCGTTGTAATCACCAAACGGGCACGAAATAAAGTGTTAAAAATCGATCACAAACGCATGCTCTCCGATGATTTTTCAATTTTCGCCACACACGTAACGAAAAAAAAAGTGTGCTGGAATTTTTGAGAGTCTATGTATATTTTGAGACACATATTTTTGAACACATTAAAAATGATATAATTTTACGGAATAATAAAATTTATGTGGATGCGTAAAAACAACGATTATGTAAAGCCCGTAAATTTAATATCTTGTGAAGAAATAATCAAGATCTTTATGAAAAAAATATGTTAACTATCACTTCAAAAGTGTTGCAACGATCACCGCACAGAGATGCAGACGCGCAAAAAAAAAACACAACAATAAATTCACGCCACTATAGACGAACAAAGTACATTTGAAGCGCATTACACAATTACAAATTAATTGCATTCGAATTAACAATGCGTGATATGAAAAAGTGAATTACGATGTTATTAAGATGTTCTCATAGGAAGCGGAATTTTACGATTTACTTAACAAGAATAATTAAAAGCAATAAAAAAATGATGAATTACTCATTCGTCGCCTTCCATCCCATGATCGCTTGTTCTTTGGAATTTCGACATAATCCCAATGCCCAGTCCTTCCATTCTGCACAACGAAAACCCCAAAATCCCGTGTCCGAATTTATCGATTCGGCAAAGTATATGGGCGCTCTATCGTGATTACAACTGCCTCTACCTAAATAATTCAACGTTATCTATTCAGGCATCTACTTGAAATTTTATTAAAATGAAAACTAACTTTGATTTCGCTTTGAATTGCAGCCCGGTTGCTCGATACCTCCATTCATATAAAAATCTTGATGACCACTTGCAGTTAATACACCTCGTGCAAATGCATCTGTATGAACTACTTGAACGAAATCGGCGTCATCCGGACCTTTAAATAAAATGATGTGGTTTTTTTTTTCACTTTCGATGAAAAAAGGAAACGTCGATCAACATACATACCAACTCTGTGCTCGGCGTTAGCAAAAATGAACATCGGCTTGGCGGGATCGAGTGCTTCGCGGAAAACAATGAAATTATATAAAAATTGTACACATTTTTTTAGACGGAATAGTTGTGTACCTGTGATTCTTCGTAATTTTCCAGTTTTAACATAATTTGATATCATTCCGGCTGTTTGTGCGCCCAACGAAAAACCGATTATATGCAAATCGTCAAGTGTGAAAATTCCCTTTCCCATCATAAAATCCAACAATTGTGCCGTGCATTTTGCAACGACTGGTAAATTATGCACGGCTTGGACATAACATGGTTCAGGTGCTAATGGATGATAGTCGAGACTAATCACATTGTATTCATCATTTTGAAATAGTGCCGGTCGTATGTGACTATTTGGTGAATAATCTTTGTGTCCCGTATAACCGTGTAAAAGCACTATAAATGGTCGATTTGCTGCATAATTTGCTGATGTTACGGTTTGTTCATCTGCCATATTCAATTGCGTCGGATTATTTTGGGTATCTCTATTTTAATTTAACAGAAAATAAATCAATTTTACATACAATAAGATTACACTTTCTTTTAATTTTTTTTGCACTGAATGAAGGTAAAAAAATGGTTTTACCTTGTGTACAACCAAAATGTGATATTTTCATTTGGACAGGTATCGTCAGCAACATGACATTTAGAAAACATTTCGAATGGGAAGAATGGCAGTGATTTTGCCGGACTTAAAACTGCAAACGCTTTTAAGATTATAAAGAAATTTAAAAAAATTATTAAGCAAGAATGATTTATGGCTTTTGACACTGTAAAAAACGATTTAATTAAATTAAAGACATCGTATGAACACATTTTCTTTTTTCACATGTTTATTCAATGTTTTTTTGGCGCGCTAAGTATTAAGCCACATGATGACACTTTTAATTATAATATCTTTCGAGTGAACGTCGAAGTTATATTCGTTTTTTTCAAAAAAAATATTTTTTGACAAAAGAACCACTTTGAAAATTCATGAATTCACATATATTTGATAAAATATTTTCAGAAAACAAAAAAAATCTTCCACCAAACTCAACATGTAACTATACCTGCCAGAAAAATAATAAATAAAATCTTTTGCATTGCGAAGAATGTTTTAGAATAAAATATTTGTCAAATAAATTCACATCAAATTAAAAATAACAAAAAAATCCATAAATTGAAAAATTCTGCTCAGAATAACGACACACGAATTAAAGTGTTCAAATTTTCTCTGCCTCCGATCGAATCGAAAAGGAATAGTTTCGATCATGCTACCTTATTTAAATAGAACATTTGATTTCATTTGTTAGTCGGTCTAATTTGAATATCTTGCATGATAAAAAGAGAAAAAAACGTCGTTTTTAGTATCACCTATCGACAGTGTAAGCGGTGAAAATCGTGCCGCGATTCAATTCGTTGCTTTTACACGGCACAGTACATTTTGTTGTTTAAAATAATTTGATTTATTTGCGAAATTAATTAGTTTCAGAGTGCTGATAAAAAAAGGAAATGAACCATTGTAGAAAATAATATGCTGAAACAAAAACGTCGGAATTTAATTAAGTGCTTTTCATTATAAATGTTAAGTACACCACAATCACCTCTTATCGTTCGATGCATTAAGAAATTCGGGCGTGTAAAACCTGCCGAGATTCCCGAAATTGATTCCCATATCACGCTGTCCACAAGTGAAGAATAAAAAACAGCCCTCTTTACCCATTACGAGACAATCGTAAATTTTATCAAAATTCCAATGGTATTGAGGTCGGAATTTTTCGGCTACCGAGTTGACATTGTTTAGACATTACTTAGTTTTTTTTTTCACAAAACTTTGGTTGTGCTGATGTCTCGAATGGCAAAAAGTCAGTCAGCTGTGTGCTGTGGATATCAGTAATTCCTCCATTAAATACGTAATATATTATATATATATTGGTGTCTTAATGTTAGCCGATAAATATTGTCGATACTCTATGTGTATGAACTCGATATATTCTTTTGCAAGTTGTAATTCCATAAATGTGGTGCAAGGTCAATTGCACCTTTTTTGGCGTGCACTTTTAATACATTTTATCTCTACGAATGGGCTACCAATTTTAAAAACCAGTTACATTTTTTACGCTTACTTTTCAAAGCGCGAATGGTTTCAAGTGCAACGACTCTTTTTCTTTATCATCGTTCAACGAACATTTGTTAGGTTTTCAAAACATTTCAGCTGAAATCGCGTTGCCATCGACATTGGAAACAAGATGGAGCTCGGGTTATCATGCTTTTCTTCATATGTGATAAGAATATGAGTAGAGAATACCTTTCGTAAAGCGAATCAAAACAATCGTAGTTTGACACTTCTCAATAGATACACGAATCGTTTTGCTATCGGTGTTTTTGCCTATTTTGCGATTGTCATAGCATTTCTTATCAGTGAAAAGAGTTATCACTGAATCGATGGGAGATGCGTAGAGCAAAAGCATTTATTAGAAATTGTATTTTCGCATCAGAGTTGCTTGCATTGAATCGTGTGCCCGTGCGAAATTATTCCAAAGTAACAATGGCATCCGAACACTTGGTGACTGAATTGAAAAGTTTGTTTTTGTGTGGTGTTCGTGCCGTTCAACCCGAGAATCTATTTCGTACCGAACATTTTACAATTGACAAAATAAATGGAAAAATTCACTGTAACTTTAGTGAAAAGAATTCAATGGCAATAGATATAGATGGTAAGCGGTGCCATCTTGTAGGGTTTGGAAAAGCCGTATATGGAATGGCTAGTGAATTAAGTAAAGTACTCGGTGATCGGTTGAAATCTGGGATTATAAGTGTTCCGTTAAATATTCACAAGAATTTCAACGATATTCAATTACCAACGGTTGTTAAGGTGTTCGAAGGTGCCCACAATAATTTACCAGATGAAAATGCGGAATTGGCCGCAACTGTAATTGTTCAATTTGTGAAAAATTTAACGAATAATGACATTTTATTTGTGCTAATTTCGGGTGGGGGTTCAGCATTGCTGCCATTACCAGCCAAAGGTGTAACACTGCACGAAAAATGTGATATCATAAAAAAATTGTCCAGCAAAGGTGCAACCATTTCGGATATAAATCGGGTATGCACAAGGGGTAATTCACTTAAAAATTGCCTTTTTATTATTTAATAAATGTTATTGATTCTTTTTCGATTATTTGTCGATTATTTTAAATTAATTCCATTCTTTTCTTTTGTGATTCTTCCCTAAGGTACGCATCTCTTTATCTGGAACAAAAGGTGGAAAATTGGCAAACCATGCATCGAATGCCAACACAGTTGCAACATTTATCATTTCCGATATTATCGGCGATCCAATTGATTTGATTGCAAGTGGTCCCACTGTTCAATCCAAAAATACTGGAAATGAAAACAGTTCCATCGTTGTTTTGAAACGATTTGATCTATGGAGCTCATTACCTGACCACATTCGAGATGCTGTAACGGACCATGAACTTAGCCACCATGCTGTTGCAGTGAAAAATGTTAAAAATATGATCATTGCAAACAATGAGATCGCAATAGATGCTGTACGTCAAGAAACAGACAAAAGAAATGTGAAAGCGATCATTTTATCGACTGAAATCGAAGGCAATGTTGCTGACCTAAGCAAAGCATATTTTGAGCTCAGCAAATGCATTAAAGCATTTAAGATGGGACAAATGAACGAAAATCAATTGCTTCACCACTTACACACATTGCGTCAAATATTACACATTCGAGACGAATTCTTTCAAACTATTACAAATACTTTGAATCAATCGAAAGCCGAACAAAATGATTTCTGTGTAATTGGAGGTGGTGAACCAACTGTCACTCTTATTGGTAACGGTATAGGTGGTAGAAATCAAGAGCTTGCTCTTCGGTTTAGTAAATTTGCTTTTGATGATAGCTTAACGCAAGATGTATTTCTTCTGTCGGCCGGGACAGATGGGATCGATGGTGAGTACAATCATTTGTTTTATTTTGGTCCATTTTCGTTGATTTTTTTTCTTCCAAAATCATTATTTCATTCGTTTTTGTTTTATCTTTGTCGGTTCGTATAAATAGGACCATCACCAGCTGCCGGAGCGCTGGGAGGTGGAGATATTATTCGAAACTATTTGATGATACCAGGAAATAGCCGAAATGACATCGATGCTTTCATACAAAATAACGATTCGTTTAATTTTTATTCAAATTTATCTCAAAATAAATATCACATCATCACACAGGAACCAATGTTATGGATTTGCACCTTTTGTATTTTAAATATTAGCGATTTGCTGAAATCAAATAAAAAATATGATAGAAACTGAAATATAAAGAAATAAAACACCCAATGTGAAAAAAAATGCGATGGCTTTTATTTATGCTATTTTATCTTTCGCGTTGATTTATTACTTTGAACATCAGTGGATTTTAGCATTTGCGCCATTTGAAAATATTCATATTGATCCCTATAACTGTGCGCCATTCGAATAACTTTATTGCCAACATATTTAACAAATGATAATAGAATATAAGCAATTATAATGGGAAATGTCAAATCGATCATTTTTTATGTTCGTTTTGTTTGAAGCTCGTTGAGTAGTAGTATACTTGAATATATTCAAGCTAGTTATTTTGAACTGTTTTAAAATCGAAGATATTCAGTCGTTTTATAAATTTACCTGATCCAAATTTCTGGGAATCAACAAGCGCATCTATAGCGCCCCATTTAGATAATCAACATATACTTATCTAGTATTAGAATCCAAGTGTTTTTCGAATCATGTAATCAATTAACATCTCGCACAAAATGAATGTAGAATAAAGACAAAAAAGGTCACAAAAGACGAAAAAAAGCTAAACAAATAAGTACAAACGGCAGATGATATGAATGAAATACCTTTTAAAAACTACTAATCGAATTTATCAAAAGTGAAACATCTGCTTTCTGCTTGTTATGTAACACACATATCACACACACACACACACACACAGAGAGAGAGAGAGAGAGAGAGAGAACCATTTGGACGCGTGCCTTCAAACAACCATTGGTCCCAAACAACAATTACATATATGTAGCAAAATGGACAGCACTTTCCGAAGGAATTTGAAGACAAAGAAAGACATTGTTTTATGTGTATGATATTAAATTGTTTAAATAGCAATTAAAACGGAGTGTTTTTGCTCAATTTCGATTCTCTGAATCAACGGCAAATTTGAATAATTATACGATTGCAAAATAGCAATTTAGCAAATAATATTGCATATCAATTACAAACACAATTATTACAAGTGGTGATTTTTGTTGTTTATCCCTTTGTTGCATTTGCTCTTGTTGCTTGAATGATGAATTGACTAAGTGTCAATTAAAAATGACAAATGTTTAATTCAGTACGTGATCTGGGATGATTAAAAAGAAACTATGCACAGGTGCGTGACCACTTTTCCGCATATAGAATATATTTTGGATCGGCTTTTTGTTACAATGTTTGCCTAATTAATACTGCACCGCCCATTTAATTTGTTAAGAAACACATTTCTGGAATGTGGGGGGTGAGCATTCGATAGAGAAGAAAATATATACATAAATTCATATTGACAATACAGTAACTCATCAATACAATTCGAAATGTAAAAAGAAAAAGAAGAAGAAGAAGAATTACCAAACAATGACCTTATATTGCAAATAGCTTGCGAAGAACAAATGGAGTGTGATTAATGTATATACAATTGTACATAAAAACTTTCATAAATTCTCTTAACTACGAGCTATTTGTAATTATGGCATCGCATTCATCATGCATACACATTGCAGTAATTACAACAATTGATGGATTGAATTGACAACCATTAAACTCTAGTACTCTATTTATGACGAATGTTCTCTGTGTTTGTTGATCTGTGAAAATAAACATACACATATCGTTTTTTGTGTCATAAATAGTAAAATTATATCTATATATATGAAGCGAGAGTGTGCAGTGTGCATATAGTTATATCTCTTTTCAAACGAGTAAAATTAAGGATGTAAATTCACAATTAATTTAATTATGGCGTTTGTAATTGATCTGAAAGATCATTAAATAGCACGAATGCTGCGAGCTAGTTTGGCGTTGACAAAGGGAAGCACAAATTATAGGTTTGAGTTGGTTGGTGACGTTTTTATTTCGTTGCTTTATTTGTACATATATATACATATATGTGCGCTGCGCTCTACAGTCTATAATTTGAGTCGATTGTAATTGATTCGATTTAATTAACGCCTGCGGTACGTAAAATGCCAATATCAATAGAGCTATGCTGCAATGATTTTGAATGTGGCATCTTGCACTCACTTATTCTGTATTATGTTGATGCTAATTCGCATAGAAAGAATGTATGCGTGTTTTCTCTCTCTCTCTCTCCCTCACTCGGTGTATTTTTCATTCATGAATATATATTTTTCGTGCGCATGTGGAATTTGAACTCAGAAAACTTTTCGGTTTCAGTGTATGGCTCCATTGTGTCTGTTTTGAATGATCTCATTTGTGTGTTAGATTATTCTCACATCAATGCAACCGTCGTGTTTTTTCACGGTTGATTCTCTTTTTTCCCTCCATTTATCCCGGCTTATCCGTTTGCTTTGTTTTTTGTTCATCAAATTAAACCGACAAATACGCATATCAGTTACCCGGTCCACAATATTATGAATTCGCACATCCAAAAAATGCGATGAGAAAATATAAAATGATATTTCAATATGGTATAGTTTTTAATTTGCGACATTACCGGCATTCGTAAATGACACCGACACACATCCTTTTTCTCACATTTTTTGTGTTCATTGTTTTTTTTTTTGTGTTCAATGAAATTTCCACCATATTAAACATTCACCAAAAACAAACGTTTTAATGGATGATTTGATATCCATTGAATTATATGAGATGAGAGAAGTGAAAGAGAAATGCCGATGTGAAACCACAAAAACAACTGCCAATGAGAAAAAAAATTAGTGAATGAGAAATGAGCAAAAAATAAAAAGACACCGACAGTTGAATCGCGAATTATCTGCACTCAAACACTTAACACCAAGAATGAAGAGCAGAAAAAAGGAAGAAAACTTTGCACGTTCAAATATAAAATTTATACGCATTCGTTTCGTTGTGATTTTGAAATCAAAATGGATCAGCGGCAAATCGTGCATGTGATTGACCGGTAAGATTAACATTCCGAAAACAATCCAAACAAAAAAAAAAAAACAATTTGAGTCCTCACCAGTTCATTTTCAGCCGAAACAAAGACCAGACAAATTATATTATTTTCGTGGCCAGTTAAAAGAAAATCGAAAAACATGTTCAAAGTGATATCGGAGCATGTGTCATAATAATGTATTTTGAATGTAAGAGCCAAATAATTAAATGGTTGAAATAAAGTCATTACTCCTAATAAACGATGCAATTGGCACAAAAAATCATAAATAAATAAATTAAAAGTGTCGTTCTACGGCCTACACACATAATTACTCACGATTGCTCGAATCAAAAGTCTGCGGCTCATGAAATATAGACGTTTATTTTTCAGCCTCATTGGAATTTGTGAATGACGAAAAAACTTCATTTCGTCAAGCCAATAAATTCTTCACACTTTTTTCTTTCGTTCATATTCTCACTTCGGACATCGCGCTCGCGCGCACACATACACACGTCTACACGATTGATATGGATATATGTGAGGGATTTTTAATCACACATGATATATACATTTATCGCGCGCACATCCAGTTATATACCAAAATAGGCAAAAACTGTCTTGATGGTAAACGAAATGAGAATGTGGATAACAAAAAAAAAAAACGCTGAAATAAAATAACAAAAACGGAATGTTCATTCATCAATGTACAAAAGGCATTGGATATTGTGTGGTGTGATGCAAACGCGGGGCTTTCGAGAGAGTAGCCGTCGATTAGTCTGGCAGATGATCAGCAGCTACTAACAAACACAACAACAACAACGGCACACAACACTCTTTAATTAACAATTATGATATACTGTTTGATAAGAGCGACAATGTGTCTGTACTCTCTGGTTCGCCAAACCCAGGCGCAAACCACTCGGTGTGTACACGGTTCGTACACCATATACAGGCAATATTATGTTCGTGAGCAAGCGAGCAAGCGATTCAGTGTGTATGTTTGGCCGTTCATATTTGTTGTATTTTTTTTTTTTCATATTCAACTTCTTGCTTTTGCGCCGTTGAGAGTTGCGCAAGTCGAGCAATCTTTGAGAACACGTCAAAGATCTTGTTTACTTTCAGCACAGCAAAAATATGCCAAGATTTTTATAAGGAGACAGACACATGGTCGTACTATGTGTTACGACGACAAACGAAACACACAAAACAACGTTGTATCTCTCAATCGATTTGAATATCAAGCGAATCGTTCGATTGACGTGTTGATATTTGAACATTACCATTTCAGTTCATGGATTCGAAAAACGAATTTATTGGAGACAATAAAATATGTGACACCGACAACAGGCTTAGGCGAAATGAGGTAATTCCACAAATAAAATGCTAATTTGCTACGGGGACCAGTTGCGATTGGTATGTATATGTGTGTGTGTGCGATCGAGAGAAAATCTTTCTGCTTTTTCGCGCCGTATTCTTGGTCATTTGATTTGCCCCCCTCTCTCTCTAATCCTTGTCTCATGTCATTTTGATTTGAAAATGTTTATTACTCTGTCGAATCTTCCTACTCGTCGTTTTCGATACACGCCGTACAAAGTTTAGTTGACACTAGTTGAGCACACATTCTTGCGTACAACATATTCGCAACGCAACATTCGAATTATTTTGTGTAGTGAACTTTTCGTGTGGGTGGATGGGTTAAATTATCACGACACGGTAATAAAGATATGAACAAATACGATTCGAGAAAAAACCGGATGAGTTGATGAATTGCATAAAAAAAAAAACAAAATGCAAAAGATGAAGAAAAATGGTGTGATCGAATTGGGACTTTCACAAAAGAAAAACCATTTAGAATGAAAAATAAAAATCTGGCACTCTCTCGCAACAACTCTATAAAAAAGGCCATTGCGGCCGTTTTCTCCACACATTAAAAAAAAATCAGAGAAAAATCATAAAAATTTATTCTGTTTATGAAACGTGTTTTACTAGTTAAAACACATTTGACGAGTGTTGCATTTCAATATGAACAAATTCACTCAATCAATTTTATCTGCGTCGCTTTATTGCATTTTGCATCTATCAAGGATTTGTTTTAACACAAAATGTTAAAAAATAAACGAAATAGAATCGCAACACTTATACAACAGCCATGCGTCATTCACCTGATCGATATGCGCGAGACTCATTACAAAAAAAAGACCGATGAAGAAAGAAAGAAAATAAGAGGTGGATGGCGAAAAAAGCACACCGTTCGGTACAATGATTTGAAGTAAGCAACAAAAAAAACACACACACATACTGTCTGTCTTGCATTTTAGACAAGTTTGCATAATAGTTGAATTAATCAAATGATATCAAGCAGAGTATGTCTGAAAAACTTCACCTACATTCGTCTCAAAAAATTATGGCAAAAAAATGCAGATCTTTTTTTTCTTCTCGCATGCACCCATCTTCATATCGCTGATAAATACGAAAAATATTTGTAATATTGTTGTTGTTGCTGTTGATGGTGCTATTTTTTGCTGAATTCAAAGTCATGAGCAAGAAGAAAAACTGATATCAGCTCACCAAAACATGCTAACTAAGGAAATAAAGCGAACAGACAAATATGAAAGTGTTCGACATCGATATATTATATATATATATAAATATTGTTGACAAAATGACAACTGACCCTATTGACATATGAGCATAAAACCTATGCGTGCGAATGTATGAGTGTTGCATTGAATCAAGTGACATGTATGCAAATGGCATAGTGGATGCTGATCGCTCGATGTATTCGTATTTCCCGTATGACTGTATGTGTGCTGGTGTTGACGTGACAAGGTGGTATGTGTAACTAGCATTCAATAGTGCTACAAAGGAAACAGTCAACAAATTAAACATGTTCTGAAATTTTGCAAAGAAAAAAATCATTAAGACCCATCGTTAACATCAAAATGTAAGTTTTAAAATTACAAAATCATCCAAAAGGAGTCAAACTAGAGCGAAAGAGAAAAATCACAAAACATTTTGTAACCATTACTCTGATCTGTATTTTTGTTTAATTAGACAGTTCACATGAATCAAATAATAACGAACTGAGCACGACATTTTGTCCGCAATATTCAAATCGATACTCGTACTATTGGAAGTAGTCTCTATGTGTGTGTGAATACACGAACACACACACACACACACACCTGCAAATACAATTACAAAAAGCCACAGTTTGCTCACCAGAGCAAAAGATATCACCAAGAGAATATCAATTATAACACACAGTGCTAAACTCGCTTACAAGTTATAACACGCTCGCTAAAATATAAAACGACGAAGCAGATAATGAAATAATAAAAAAACATACATATTGGAAATAAAAACGAGAGAAAAAAAAACACGAAAGAAAAAAAAAACGATCAGAAACCAGCTCTTGAAGAGTGTGTATCGAGCACATAAAATGCGATTTACGTTGGCATTTGTTCGAGAAACAACAACAACAGTAATTTTATAGCTTTCGGCCCAGTCCGTAAACGATCTCGCAGTCGTCATGGAATTATATGTGTTGTGTGTTGTGTTGTATGTGCGAGAGCCAGAAGCCCGACTCAACTTTTCATCTCTCGTTCAAATTGCTTGTTTTCATTAACCAGTTGAGAGTTGAACGCAGAATAAACAGCATCCATTTTTATCTCATTTGTCGTCGAAACAAAACGACATACAAAAAGTTGAACACAACGAAAAAAAATCATAGTCAAACCCGTGAACAACTCAGACACAAAACACAGTGTATATCGGTAAACCGCTTCGGCATTTTTGTCTATTCCGATTGAAAAACAGTTTTTTTTTGTTCGCTTGGCCATAGCCCATTCGGCTGGATTTTTTTTTTATTTAACTTGGGCACGCTTCATTTTTTGTGCATTTTTCCACACATGAAAATGTTCGAACAAAACATCGATTGTTTGTAGTAATGTGCGAACTGGAATCCGAAAATCGAGTGAAACGTCAACGAGCTCTCGATTTTACATTCCAAAAAATGTAAAAAAAATACAAATTGTGTGTGTGGACATCGAATCAAGTTTTATTGTCTTTTTATATTTATTTATTCGGTTTTTTTTCGTCGTGTATTTTTATCATCGTGGAATTTTATTTCATTTTATCCATCTTTTTTTGTCTTTTCTCCGATCAATACGAATCGTGTGTATGGATTTCGAATATTTGGTATTTGCCGTTTGTAAGCTATTCACACATAATTTCTCCAGCATACACAGCATCGTTCAGTGTTTATGTGAATTGTGACATTTAACTACACTCATACAGGTGTGTAGTATGCAACACAAGTGTGACAGAAACGGTGGCACTACTATACAACATTTGGACACTTTACAGCAATGTGAGCAAAAAAAGCGCACACACTATATATACAACAGCAACGACCATTATCACAGTATCGTACACATGCACTTTTTGACATGACATTTGTAACACTGGTGAAGAAAATGTATCTGATTTTTTTTGGATGTAATCATTGAACGTAAGCAAAGTGTTCGAATCAGTGAGTGTATAAATAGTTTCCAGTTTAGTTCGTGTAACATGAACATAATCTGAATGAATAAACCGCAAAAACGAATCAGCAACAACAACAAAATAACAACAAAACATCAAAAATAAAACCTTAAAAAAGGCAGAATTGAATTGAGAGAGAAACATAAAAAAATAATAATAATAAGAAGAAGAAGAAGAAGTATATTGCTAAGTGTCGATTAAAAGTTTCCAGCACAGTTCAAGGATTATCATTTTGATTAAAGCAACAAAATAATCACGTGGGTCGCTAAACACATTTACACCTATCATTTTATCCGAATACATACCGTGCCATGCGATAACAACAATTTTCAATGATCACAACGAATAAATTACGTGTTTTACACATATTGTTCTTTCGACCAGAAAACCAAGTACAGATCTTTTTGTTTCGTTCCATTGGAGATGATAAAAAATAATAATACTACTAAGCAAGAAATAGTGTGTCTAAGTTTGACGAGAATAAATTTTGCGTATGATTTGATTTTGTTTTTTGTTTCGTTAAATAACAAGTGCATCACAATTTTCACACTATCAACGTGCCCAATATTGGCCAATAACAACGATGACTGTTTTGCAAAGTGCATGGTATTTTTCCAAGTCGATCTCGAAGAGAATAAATGTGAAAGCTGAACAAAAATATATATATATCCACCATTTAGTGGCAGTGTGAACAAGTTGAAATAGTTGCGATTCAGCCGCTGCTTAAAGTCTTTCTTGCCATCTCACTCTCTTCGTCGATCTCGCGGTGTACGTTAATTTGTATATGAATCGGTGTGTTTTGACTGTAGTTCGTTATTTCACCAAGCCGTGATCAATAATTTTTTTTTCTTCTTCGAATGTATGCATACGCTCGCATGCTGTGCTACAATAGTGAATGTTGAATGGTTTTTTTTTTCATTTCGTTCGTCAGTTATTCCACACACATATATATGAAAATAATATTCGTGGACCAAATTAAGATAGATAAAAGCATCGATCAACTTTTGATTAACCAGAACTACAAACAAATTTCGTGTGTGTACATGTGAAAAAAACGAAGCCAATAATAAAGAAAATATTATATATAAATAGTTGAAACGACTCACGATAGTTATTTCATTAAATACATAACATTATTAACATATTTCTATGTTAACGGTATCTCGGTGTGTTCAGGCAAAAATCACCAAACATCGCCACATCGCATACAGTTTGCAATAAAATGAAAAATTAATAAAATCGAAAGAAATACGATCGTTTAACATGAAACTGTCGGTTTGCAATTGGACAAAGTCGAAACATAGTCACATTGGCAAAGAGAGAAGTACTCAGTGTATGTGTATCAAACGGCAATTTATGATTATAATTAGTCACATAAAAAAATTGAGTTAATTCTTCGCCGGGACAACGCATTTCTATTCCAAAAGGAAACAACCACAAAAAAAATACATATCCGCGACAATGAATTTAAAACAACGCATTGAATTGTTTTCGAAAAAACTGCTTAAAAGCTAAGTGACATTCAACATCATTCGCCATCCATAAATTTCCTTTTGAATATCAAAGGAAGAGAGAGAGAGAGAAAGAGAATAAACGAGTCCAAAAGACAATTAATTATTGACATTGTAATAACTATCATCACGGTTGATGAGATCATTTCTCACAACACAAAGATCGCCTGTCCACGAAGAAGAAGAAGAAGCAGCAGTTGCAGAAGAACCAAATTCAGAATTTGCATCCGATTTTTGCGGCGTTGCGTTTTATGTATTTCCACGAATTTCGTCATAAATTTAAAGTAAGTAACAAAACTAGTTCGATCATTTCGATTTCGTATCTCATACATATATAGCATATCTGAATAGCCTCCAATCGAGCGATGAAAATAAAAATGTCGACCATTAATTCCATTAAAGTTCGTTCACCACATACCTATGCAAAATAAGAAAAATCTCTACCACAAAACATTCCTATCTCTCTAGTGAATTTAACAACATTCCTATAGAAAAATCAATTGTCGACTGGCTGGCTGGATCAGTGAAATGAAGCCAGCATATTTGTTCGGTTTTTTTCTCTTCTTTTATTTTCATTTATTTACCAATAACCGGAAGAAAATTGCTCTCAACATTGGCAACAACTTTAATATACACATACACATACACGAAATCAAATCGAATCGGATCGAATAACCTTCGGTTTGTTAAAATGAATTAACATTTTTCGAGAAGAGATTGCGAGTGATATTCTCCTAAGCAAATGACATGGCATTTGAGAGGCGTGTATCGTAGAATTGTTGATTATTAACAACCGTAAAATATTATTTCTGCGTAATAAAATCAGATAATTAATGATGATATTCGACTGATACGACCCCAATGACTTTATTTGATTCACACAAATTGCGTATTTTAATATCCATACACGAAAAATTGCTTAATTTGATTTGTCGCGCATCCAATTCGATTAGCATATCTTCTCTAATTCTCGGCTGATTGTTCTAATATCGGAAACGACCAAAAAATAAAATTGGACAAGAAGTTCGATGATGAAGAAAAAAAAGTTCGATTTCATATCAGTTCCACATTAAATCGCAATTTAGAAAGATCGAGCTACACCATTAAGTGAAACAATTTATTTTATTATGCACGGGATTAAAAACAAATCAAATAAATTGACAAGCCAAACATGTCAATGCTTCAGACAAAAAGTCTGACATGAATGGCGATGAAAAAAATACAGTTGTCAAAAGTATATCTCGATTTAACAAAGCCATTTCAATCTACAACTCGAAACTTGTTTGCGCACATTTATTTTTTATCGTTCACTCTGTTACTTGTAAATTCTAATACACGGAGGAAAAAACGTATATCACTTTCGTTTTATTTATAATCGCATACACGCAAAAATAGCAGTGGGTCCTTTCTGATAAATTATACGATTTATTCGTACCGGCATTAGAGTGGTTTTAGTCTTTCCATTACTTTCAAATGACATGGTTCAGAGTTAGTTGAGTTTCATAAGTTAAGAGAGAAAAAAACGTGACTTATACAATTGAATTTGAAGTGTTGGCTTTGGTTAGGCAATTGGGCTTGATTGGTGCATGTAAGTGCCGATTCTTGAATTTTCCAAGCGATTTGACTGCAAAGATAGTAACAATTAAGAGTGTGATTTATCTCATGTGTTAAAATACATTTTCCAGTTATTGGCTTCCATGACGATGTTTTACATCACTCGTGCATTATATCACAAAGTGATGACTTCTTTTTGTCTTAAATTCTTTTATATTAAACTGTGTAATTAATTTTTGTTGGTACTTGAGTTTTTTCTTCTTTAATTTCTTGATTTCAATTCGGAATAAACTCATTTCTTTTTTACATTTTTTTTCGCATGCTTTTACGTAAAATAAAATGCGTCACAAAAAATGAACCGAATGACTCAAAAAGGAAGTCTGCAATTCAAAAATCTGTCTAATGGAAAGAGTGTTGTAGTCTCCGCTTTGCAAATTAAATATTATTTATGGGCCTGTTAACGCAATCGAAAACATTTTGGATAAAATATGTCTTGGTTTGCAGCAAAAAGAATTTCTTTCATTTGTATAATGCATCTTCCATTAATCGTTTCATTAAAAGATAAAATATATGTGGAAACAGTTTTTTTTGCAAGTTGATTTTAAGAAAATCATGCATGAATCGAAAACGAAACAATCATATACATGTAAAAGAAGTCATTCTGAAAGAGTTCGATAAACTAGCGCTATAATAATGAATGTGATTGTTTGAGAGTTAAAAGCATCGAAAAAGTATTTTTGACATTGAGCCATGAAATGTGAAGGGGATTGAGGCAATTGAAAAAAATATATACATGATTGATTGGTGCTTGTTTGGTGCTTTTTTTGTTTGGTATAATATCAGTTTGTATGCTTCAATGGTGCGCATGCCACTTTGTCGTACATGTAAAATAACATAATAATAAATTAAATTCTATCATTTGAATTGAAACTATTTTAATTCGGAATATAAGACACACCGAATGCGCAATTTAATTAACCAAAACTATTTTGCGGTCTGATATATGTACATACATTCATTTCCATTCATTTCCATTCGCATATTGATTGGTGAATGTGTGTAATTTATTTATTTAGTTTTTTTTCTTCTTCTCTTGAATATTTGTCTTTCTCTCTTTCTCTTTGCATTAGTGGCTGGTAGTTCATCTTTAAGCCACACTGCAAAACACTACACTTATGTCGTGCACATATACAACCAGTTTGGTAACATTCTTTACATGACGTCGATGGAAAAATGTCAACTTGAAGTGATGAGAAAACCTCTTTCTCTCTTTCTGAAACAAAAATAAAACATTCATCATTCACGATCCGAGCATCTGATTCCGTGCTATTTTGCTCGTTTACTTTATATGCATGCCTATATGTGTGTGTGTGCTCGCGAGTGATCTTTTTCTTAAAATCATTATCATTTATTCTTGTCTGCGCGTTCCATTCTCTCACTGTATATGTGTTTCTTTCTTTTTTTTTATTATTATTATTTCAATGCGACTCATAACAAGGCTCTTAACAATTCATAATATCAAAGCCAATTGCAACATGTAGATATTTCATTGGAATGTTTTCGGTCATTAAGTTTTCACAACATTATTATATCTCTCGTACCGATATTGCTATTAAATTATCAGCTCGGAATATATCTTTCTCTCTATCTTTCGCAACATGTCACATAATATTCTATTCGCATTTGGCATCTGCTTTGCTACTCATTTTCCTCTCATTTATTTTCAATGTTATGTGTTGGTTTTATTTCTGTATTATTATTATTTTTTTAGTACTCGATAAAAATCGTTCGGAATCGATCAGATCGACTGAATTTATTAAATGTTTTGCTTTCAATTTTTATGATTTCAATGATATTTTTACTGGTTTTTTGTCGCGTCGAATGGTTTTTTTTTTGCCGTCATTGCATTTAATTTATCAAAAAAAAAAAAACAACTCATCCTTAAGCGATGAATCTATTTGTGGCCATGCGGTCTGTATCTAATTACGATCATCTATTCGCATTAATGAAGTGATAAAAATTTATTTGAGTGTAATAAATTCAATTAAGTTCACAGAGAATGAGAGTAAGCATATGAGTGTAGACTTAAATCAAAAGGAAGGTGCTGAAGTAGAAACAATCGTCTAGAATGTCTGTGTTAAATAAATCCTAGGGCTTCTGTTCACCAATATGTACGTATGCATGTAGCACGATCAATTTACACTTAGCGCCAGATTGAATTGTTCCAATGTCATTAATTTGAATTATTATTATTCATCACAATTGTGACTGACAAAAATCTCTTCTTCAAAATGATTCTTTTAAGATTATTCAACATGTTATGATTATGATCGAACAAATGTGAGGTTTTTATATTTTTCGAGTGCCATTCAAACAAACATGTAAACAACCAAATGCATTCCATGCATTTATTTGAACATCGATGAATGTTTCATGCATTTTTTACGATTATTTTTACAATTGAAGTTCTGTTCTCTTTTTAAATCAGCTACTAAAATTTTATTCCACAAAAAACATTTTTTTTTGTAAACAAATCAATTTTGAAGAAAGTATTTAGGAAGTAATTACTTGATGAATTCACCAAAAATTTTCATACATTTTGAACAGATTCAGTTGGATTTTTTTTTTTTAAATGATGTTAAAATCGTGACTTCCATTTAAAAATAGATCAAAGTGCTTTGGTGTCATCGTTATTATTTGCATGATTAAATGTAAAAAATGCAGTGCATATGTTAAAAGAAGACCGTCAAGTCGTTTATGGAATTTTACCTATTAGCTAGACCAAGTACTCTTTTAATATTACATCACGTGATGCAGCAAAATCTGAACAGAGAGAGAGAGAGAGAGAGAGAGAGAGAGAGAGAGAGAGAGAGAGA